AGTCAGCATTTAGCAAGCAAGGCCTGGGGAAACAACATCTACTAAATGTGGCCATGGGAAGAGAATAGGTGACGTGCGGTTGTGGAAGACAAGTGATTTGGGGTCCTCATCTCATTTTAAAAGGCATTTTGCACAGGGTTTGCCAATCGCCTGACAGTTCATCCTCAGCTCGTTTGGGCTGGCCTCATCTTCAATGGCTTTCTTTGAACATGGAACAGCACTGCCATTTCGGTCCCAAACTGCTAAACAGGCCAAACATGTCAGAAATTGAGGGAAGCCTGATCGCGGGGAACACGTGGAGGTCCCTAGTACCATTTATAGAGATTAAACGGCATCTAAAGGCTATTGATACATTCCTTGATCATCCTTGATCTCATCACGGCTTTAGGTTGGCGCCGCCAGGTCTGGTTCTGAAATGCCTTGATGGTTTGGATTGGGAGCTGCAAGACACCGAGGAGCTCGGAAGCTGATTGGGTGTAGCAGTGACTTTCTGGAATTATTGGGATGTTCAAGGGCTGGACTTCAGATGACTTCAGATTCAATTTTCTTTTCTTTCAATGGATTTCATGATCTCCCTTGAGGCAACATCTTTCAACCCATCCCAGGATGCCTTGTCGGTGACTGTGACTTTCACCCACGAGCTTTGGTTGGGCCTTTGCGGGGTGCGACCTGGTGAAGCCATCGGTTGACTGCTGTGCTCTCATGCGGCGATAGCATGCGATAGCTATGAGGTCTTTTTTTTTGACCATAAGATTCATCGTTTTTGTATCACTACTGTATATGACTAAGTCAGTGACTAAGTATCATACTATATGATACTATATGATAATATGTCTATATCCATCTGTATCCGAGAATTCAGAGATGCTGAATCTGCTGCGAATGGATGCATCAATACGTAATGGAGCAAGTTTTCATGAGCCCACTGCTGAAAGTTTCGGATCAGGTGGAAAGACCTGCTGTATACAATATTCACCACTATTCACATCTATTCACATACGAGTTCTTCTATGGCCTTCTATGCTGAATCTCAGTGTTTCAGACCACGATTCTTCCGATTCTTCGCACGGCGGTACAAACTGGTGCTCCAGGTTTCTGGCACTGGCACTGCATTCAAAGAAGCTGTGAGCTTCGAACTTGCTGAGGAAGAGTTGTGGGATGCCCCAGGACCGGTGGACCCGACCTTTTCAGCCATTTGTCGGGTCCAAAGAGTTTCAGATTGCTTTCAGCAAGAACTGCGCTTCCAAGAAGAAGTAAGAACCTGAAAAGGTCTTGCCCTGGGACTCGTGAACCCTACTCTTGGAGAAGGTATCAGAAGGCTTCTTATGATTTCTTATGGCCTATATTGGCCCATGCTCAAATCATCTCAAATCTCGAAACCATTTGAAACCCATCAAGCTCCGTTCCTATGCTCAGGCGGGTGCTACATGCGGGTTCTGTGGTGCTGGATCTGCGGCTACCTGCAACAGTTGTCGCTGAGCCTCCATAGCCAGCGGGATTTTTCCAGAACGAGATTCTCATTCAACTGACTCAAATGATTCAAATTCAACCAGCATTTTTTTAAAATGTTTTTTCCTACAAGCAAACAATATGGATTTTCAGCATCGTGCATCGCTCATGGTCCCGGTGCTGAGGATGCCCCAAATGCTGCAGCCAGCGTCAGCAGCCGCAAGATGCGGGTGGCAGTGAAGGTCCGGGGCCACAGTGGCCATTTGTTTCGGCGTTGAAAAGGAAAACGAGGCAGAAAACAGCCGGTCCAATATGGTCCAATATGGTCCAATCATAACGACTCTATAACGACTCTATGGCTGGTGGTCTTTTCTTGTTTTTTATTTTCCACCGTGCCTGGGATGACAAAAATGACCATGTGGCATCGGTCCCACCGAAAACCTGCCAAGGCCCCAAAGATATCCAAAGCCACGTGAGCTGCACCCTGCATGGCGACAAAAGTGAATCACTGGCCGCTGCCTTGGGTGGGTGGAAACGATGGTCTCTTGAAGTCAACATCCTGCCAGGAGCTTTGAAGAGCCCAACTTGCGTCCCCAGTACAATGAAGCTTGCGCATTTCTGAGCTCACAAATAGGTTCTGTCAAGAGTTTTCCGAGTCCTTTAGAAAACTTTATAAAATAGAAACACTCATTGGTAGCCTTGGAGAACAACAGCTACGAAGAACAGTATTGCCACAGGGTCTCACCAGTTTCACACACTCTCGGCGTTTGTCGAGCTGATAGAACTTTGTCTTTCACGTTGAAAAAACTCCAGCCCCAAGGGCCCCAAGCCAGCTGGGATGGTTGTTCACATCCTTCAGTGTGATAGCCTGAGAAGTATCCAAGCGTCGTGGCCTTGTGATTTGGAGAGACCGCTTTGCTCCACTCGAGGCGAACCTATTGAGTTTGATGCAATGGTCTTGCTGCTTTCGTTATTTGATCAAGCGCATCAAAAGCAAAAAGCTTCTGAACATGGCCTTATCGTGCTTGATGATGCCTTGCCAGGGTTCAGCACAGGAATAGGAGAAAGCTAGAATGCGCATTGACCTGTCAATGAATCCATGCCATACAGTTAGGAAAACACGACCTTCACATTTCAAGCTGAATGCTTTTAACATCATCAATCCACCACCTCTTAGTCCAACACAGAATCCACAATCAGACCCACAGAAAGTTCGCAATGCGGCTTGCATTTCAAGTCATGTCATGTCATGTGATTGATGAATCCGAGGCCATTATGGTGCCACCGGAATGGCCTGTGTTGTCCCCCACGCGCTCTCGCAGTCCCAAGAGAGGCCCAGGGACTGCGGCTCATCCCGTGCACTGAATCTAGCAAGTTTTGATGGTTTATACCAAATATCTTGAATTTGGGGATGGTTTACTATTGCTTTACCCACATTGAAACCTCCCAGTTCCCCTTGTCCGCCCGCGAGGAGTGCTCCGTCCAACGATTGCACCACACCTGGCGCCTTCCAGCCACGTTCATGTTCCGATGAAGTGGGCTGAGGCGTGGGCTCAGGGTGAGTGGATGCATGTGTTACACAGCTAAAGGGGCCATGGTGAACCTCTAAAACCGCCAACTCTCCCAATTTTACCGAATCCATGGGAGGTTTATTGTTGGGTCACATCACCGGTTCCTCAAAGTCATCCACACCAACTCCAAAATGTTGGGAGTAACTCTACACGCTGCCCAGAAATCTATCCCCGACTCGTGTCCAGGTTTGCAAGACTGAGAGCGAGTCCGAAAGTGGGCAATGTGACAGTGCCACACTCGAGAAGTGTTGACAGATTTAAAGGAAGGACTTCCCAACTGCTTTGCTAGTCTTAGACTATCTGATGGTTGTCTCAAACTAACTGGATCTATGTGGTGCAATGTGGTGCAGCTATGTAATCACTTAGCCGTGACCCAGGAGAAGACATCTATATAGACTAATATAATCTAATATAGACATACAGTGAAATCGGTGTGACATGTATAATATAGACTCAATATAGACTATGTCTGATCCCAAGATGCCAAGGTCCAAGTCCCCGCGAAGATCCACGGCCACGGTGTGGGCGAATGGCGTGTGGTGACCCAGACTTCAGGCGGTCGTATTCTCAGGAAGCCACGTGCTCTTGGGTTTCTCCTGTTTTGGGACTTTCCCATTTAAAGATCAGACGGAGCGTGGCGAGTCGCCATCAAACCCCGTGACATGGACCAAGGCTACAAGAGATTCAGCTGCCGCAAGTTGGCTCATGGAGTGAGGCTCTGGAGCATTGCGCCCATGACAAGTGTCAGATGTCAGGGTCCGCTGCGAAGCATTGAAGATTTTGTGAAGATCCAAGATCCCTCCTCACTTATCCAATATAGGTGTGTCTGACAATAGGAGATCAACAAATCCCATGATATCCCATGGTTTATTGTCATTCTATGATCATTTCATCACACATTATGACATCCATCCATCATATTTTCCCATCATTTTCCCATCAATTTCCCTAAGATTGCCATGATTTGGGGTTCCATCCCCTCTGAAAATAGGAGATTCTGCAGGCGAAGATGGGAGACCTCAAGCTGAAGGCAGCTGCCAGATGCCATGGACGTGCTTCAGATGTCAGGGATTTGACCTTCATAGAATTCTCAAGTTGATTTCGATTATATACATAGAATATCATATAAACATACATATATATATAATATATAGTTATGTATGATTGTATATATATAGTTATGTATAAGTAAACATGATTGTCTATATATGTATATATATAGTCATATCATAATTCTGAACTATGTTTTTGATCCTACGGATTTTAAAGTTCTCCGGTCCACTTCAAAGATGTTGGCAAAATGTGGCAGAGTTCACCCAAAGCACACAGGAACGCGAAGGCGCACGTGAAGTGATCAAAGTTAGCTCCCTTCAAATATGGTCGACTTCGACATCTCTGTGTGCCATTCCCAAAAGCCATGGCCCATTGAAGGCCGTCCGAAGGCATTGAAGGCCATTGTCCAATCAGTCCAATCATACATCTTGCGGCCTTGAGGTGGTGCCCGATGACAGCAGCAGTGGCGAGTGTTCTCCAGAGCAAATGCCTCAAGAAGTCGCAGCTTTCCTTCCCGTTGCAGAAGACATAGATTTGCGGTGCCAAAATGGAGGTGCTTGCAGACTGTGTATCAAATTTTCCCCAGTTTGGGGGGCGTTCAAGATGATATGTCCAAAAGGTGATGTCTGTCGAGAAAGGCTGGGTCGTGAAAATACAAAGACTCGAGGACCCCTTATGCTAGACCCAAACAACTGCCATTAAATGCGCAAACATGCCCAAACTTCAGTCAACGAATCAACGAACTGTTTTTGGCAATCCAGCTCCAATTTGTTTCAGTCTGTGTCCGGTGATCTCAGGCCTGGTGTTCGATTGCCGCGCTTTGCAAGGCGCTTGCCACCACATCTTTGACAAGTTTCCTGTGGTTTCCTTCCTGATCTTTCCCAACTTTCTTTGGGTGGAGGTTGAACATTACCTTTTCCAGCCTTGGTAGTGTTTCTATAGCGGTTTACCCCTGACAAAGATGATGCTACTGGAAAAAAGAATCGGGAAAACAGAACATCGCAGTCCAAGATAGTCCAAGACCATTTGGATGTAGTGATGTGGGGACTAAAAATATCTAGACATCGGCCTTGATGTGTTGTTGATGCACATGTGAATCCTCATGTTGTTTCTTGGCCATTGGTTGCTGTAGTTACTGTAGTTATTGTATATCACCATGGTACAAGTTATGGTTAGTCATCTCCATCTTGATGACTGGGGGACCATTGACCCCACGACATTCCGTTGATTCGCAAGGCATCGGCCCCTTCCCCCGCCCCCGCCGCCGCGGCCCACCACGCCGCAGCGGACCCGCCCGCGGCCGGTAGGCGCAGCGACTGGAGATCACCAAACATGGGTAGACCCCAAAACTATGCAAAACTGATGAAGAAAATGATGATGTTTGGATATTTTTGTTTTCGTTGATCCATTTTTTGGATGTTTGTCTGGTACCCAAGTGACATGGCAACGAAAAGGTACCAATATCCTCCCCCAAATCTGTGTGAAGTTTGATGGAGCTGACCATGGCTGGCTTCAGCAGGCGGAGCTTTAGAAGATCAAAGGCTGGCTGGGCTTCTATTGGAATCCCATGCAAACAGGCAACTGGACTTGAAGTATAGCTGGATGATGCATGGATGATGCTTGATGCAATTACTGTATTTTTTCCTCTTGTTGGAGGTCTTTTGCCTTGAAAATCTTGAAATGGTGTCAAGACGACGGCCTCTCCACATATGTCGAAATCGTGGGCTCCCGAATGGCTTGACCCACCGTAGCAACCAACCAATTGGCGCAGGTCTATGAGTCCATTTGGAAAGGAAAAGGCCCCTCGCCGCGGAGCTGATTCAGGTTGGCTGATTTTGCTGCTTTCGGCAACAAATGGGGATGAGGGAACAAACTCCGGGGGCATAGCGGCATAACCAACCATCAACCCTCAACTGGTGGTGGGGGATATTTCATATGATTTATATATATAATTATATATATATAATTATATATATAATTATATATATAATTATATATATATAATTATATATAATATATACATACATATGATTTATCTGTTCCCAAGTGCCTTTCATGTTGTTGGACTGGGCGGCTTCCCAACCCGACTTGGCAAGGTGGCTTCAAGAGCTGGGGTGCTTTTGGCATGGCGAAGACACCTGAGGACGCACAGGGCATCAGTGGTGACATGATGGAGCATTTCAACCCAATTTCATCCAGTCAGTTTGGGAACGCATGACTAAATTATGCCAACGTTTCTGTTTAGATCTGTTTAGCATCTGGAAATTGGATTTTAAAACTCACTACGGGATACGGCAGTGGCTGGTTTTGGACCACAGGACGGTGCTGCATTTGCAAAAGCACGACTTAAGGCCGTGGTGGAGGGCTTTTAGGGTACTGCTTCCCTTGGCTGGAAAGGAATTACATTTTGGGTCTTCAAATGATTGTTCTGATTCACTGGTCTTAACTGCTCTAAACATCTCTAAACCAGTCTTAACTTCCACACTGCAAGCATTGGAAAGGGCCGATTAGAAGTCTCCGCTTCTTAATTCTGGGCAAGCTATCAAGCATTTCCGGGCGCAAAAGATAAGGCAGCAGACTGGCATACTTTGTCCCATCCTTTGTTATTTGAAAAAGAACCTCTGTTTTGTCACTGTAGACGTCATGGGGTTCTGATTGGGCCAAGACAGAAAGTCGAACCAGTGGAACAGCAGCTGCAGCTGCTCAACGCAATCCCCCAGCCATGACGCAGCTTAGAGCGGCAGCGTGATGGCAATGCGGACTGCTCTTGTCAGGGACTGGACTCAATGGGCCACTGCCCTGCTGTTGGAAGTTCAGTGAACAGACAGATTCTGACAGTGCTTGATATTTGTTTCCACGGCGTCACGGGGATTTTGTTACATTGTTCACAGCTCAGGCCAGGACCGCATGAATTGCTGATGAGGCCAATTGACAAAGTGTTTGCGTGTTTGGGTGACCAAGAAACAAATCATGGCATATCTGTATTTCTCAAAACCTGGGAATTATCAAGGATGGCAAGATTTACTTGGGGAACATATCCTGAAAAATTCTAGCAGTGCTAGTTGATTGGTAGCGTGGTCGGAATCTGGTTGACCTGCTGCAGGCTTTGAGATGGCGGCAAGATGAAAAAGTACATCCCATTCTTTCAGAGGCCAAGACTTCTGGCATTCCTGAAGTTTGGTGGCGATTTCATCCCATTTTCATCCCATGTTCATCCCGTTCCAGTCGATGTTACGTGAGTTTGACTTAGTTTTTGTGGCTCGCAGTTGTTGACTGGAACTGCAGGCTGAAGAAAAGCTTGTAATGTTCCAAGTCATGGTGAATCATTTCCTTACTACCATTGATTGGTTGGATTCAAATAGCCACTGGAAATGACACCCCCAAAGTGAGCTGAAAGGCTGAGCTTGCCATGTCCAAGGCATGACGGGCTGGGAAGATCTTCGAAGATCTTGGAAGATCGGTGGTTCTTTCTGGATTCTATGCCTTGGTTTGTTTCTTGATGCAAAAACTGACTTCATAATATGCTTTTCTAGAAACGTTCAATGATGTTCAATGTGATACTTCTTGGTTGGCAATGACTTCCAGTGTACGGTCAGCCGGAAAAGATGGACCCCCTTGATAACGGGCATCGGATTTTCCCTTGTGTTTCCAGGGAAGAGATAAGATGATGTAATAGCAGCAGCACGCTCGCTTAACTGCGAGAGAATTGCAGCAAAGAACCTTGATGCGTTTGTTTGCTTGGTGCCTCTTTATGGAACATGCCGAAGATGAGCATTCCAAACCTGCCTTTTCTTCTCCATGTGGGGAATCATGCTCTTTTTGCTGCTTTACAGACAAGTGGCAGGGCGGCGTGTTGGGTGGGGTGCAAAGCCTGTTGATCCCCCAATTGGGGGGGTTTGGGTCGTAAATCCCTTCCGCGCCATGTCTGCAAAACCTGTCTCTAAAGGCGATGCCATTGACTTCAATATTGAGACCATGACTGTTGAACAGGGCCTGCACCTCATTGAGCAAGAGCGGGTGCAACCGCTTTTGACTTACCTGAGGACAGGTGTCTTTGAGAATAGAAACAATATGACGTTCATGAAGGCCTATTCGGTCGTTGTACAGTTTGGCGACCAACAACAGCATTCCGTGAAGCTGTACGTCTATTACAAGCAGGTGATTCACGGTTACTGCACTGAGGCAATGTCCCAACTCTCCCAGCTTTCAGGGGAGGAGTTGCTGGCCGCTTTAGCCCAGCTCTGGGAGAAGAATACCATTTTGGTCTTTTGGATGCAGCGAGTCTTCCAGTACTTGGATCGATTCTTCACCAAGAGCAGCACCGAATATCCGGACCTCTTCAGGGCTGCCCTTCAATGCTTCACCGACACGGTCTACACCAAGGTCAAGGTCAAATGTGTGGCTGCCATGGTGGACGTGGTGAACCGAGAGCGTGATGGCCATGAAATCAACCAAGACGTTCTCCGTTTGCTGGTGGAGATGCTCTGCACCGTAGGTGATTCTGGCCCCAAAGTGGTGAAACAAAAAGAGGGTGACCGAAATAGTGCAGATCGACTGCTCTGGCAGTCACAATCCCGTGGGCTTTACAAGGAAGACTTTGAAAAGAAATTATTGGCTGCCACCAACGACTACTACAAGTCCAAAGTTGCTGGATGGATGGCCGCCTACTCATGTCCTGTGTTTCTTCAGGAGATCCAACGTCGCTTGGAGGATGAGGAGAGCCGGCTGAGCCGCTACCTCGATTCGTCCTCCGAAAAGGACTTGAAAGCTGTGGTGCAAGGGGAACTCATTCTCCAAACAGCAAAGGAATTGGTTGAGATGACCACTGGCGCGCATTCCATGTTCGTGAACAAACGCTATGAGGAGCTGAAGCTCATGTACAGAATCTTCAGACGCGAACCTTCAATGCTGCCACATATCATCTCTGTGATGGAGCCATACATTGAGCAAAGGTGTTCTGCAATAGTTGAAGACCAACAAATGATTGATAACCCTCCCACATATACAGAGAGGGTTCTGGAATTGAAAAATGAGGTTGACAACATGGTTGCCACTTGCTTTGAGAGTGATACTGGATTCCAAAAAGGTAGAAATAAAGGCTTGGAAGCGGTGTTGAACAAGGACACTCGCTGTGCCAAGTATCTCGCTTTATTCAGTGACCTTCAGCTCAAGAAGGGCTTGAAGGGCCGGAATGAAGATGAGGTGCAGGTCTTGGTGAATCAGGTTGTGGGGCTTTTTGCCCACCTGACGCTTGCCAAGTTCTTGGCTCTTTTTGGATCATATTTTCTTTCACCTTTTACATCTTTTACGGGTTGCTAATAGGGCTGGTATAGGGCTGGTATAGGGCTGGTATAGGGCTGGTAAATGTTGCTAATAGACTTTAATAATCTTAATAGACATTGGGAGTTGAGCTGGGTGGTACGCGAGACTTGTGCTTTTCCAACGCTTTCCAACGCTTTCGACCTTCAGGAAAGACAAAGACATTTTCCTTGACATCTACAAGAGTGCCCTGTCACGGCGATTGCTGAATAAGCTGTCTGTCTCCAATGATGCGGAAGATTGTTTTATCACAAAGTTAAAGGTGGAGTGTGGGCAGCAAGCCATTCAAAAGCTTGCTTCGATGTTTACCGATATGGCGCTGAGTGATCAACTCCAAGAGGAGTACATGAGGGCTTCTCACCATGGCTCGCCGGGTGGTGTGACCCATGAGGTGCGGGTCCTTCAAACCAACGCATGGCCGGAGAAGGCGGATGATGCACCCGTTGTGCTGTGCCCAGAGATGCTCGGCTTTTCCGTGTTTTGCTCTGGGAGTCCGGGGAGTCCGGGGAGTCCGGGAGTCTGCTGTTTCTAAAACCTTAAAGCAGCTTGAGAATGCTTGAAACAACTTGTCCTGTAGTTTCAAGCTGGCGCTTTCAGGATGCTTTCAGCTCTTCTTTTCTTCCATTTAATCTGCTTTATCCGTCATCATCCACCCTGACACTCTATCAAAGAAAATTATGATGATCAATGATTACCATTTTCCAGGGGGGCGGCTCCACTACTAACATTTGCTAATCAGTTGTTGAACAACTTGTTTCAACTGGTTTCCCTTAAAGACTGGGACGATTGGGACGAGGATGTTGACCTGCATCAGAGCCTATGAGAACTTCTACCATGCCAAGCACAACGGGCGAAAACTCCGGTGGATCTACAACATGGGGCACCTAGAAATCAAGTGCCATGGCCTGTCGCGGCAGCATTTGTTGGTGGTGTCCACCTACCAATGCCTGGCGCTGATGCTCTTCAATGGACGGCAGGAAGACATCTGACATTTGCTTAGCATCACTGTGGTAAGCAGAGGGGATTAGAATAGATGTGTCATATGTTTTCAATCAATGCATATCTTGCGAACATTATTATGTGATTGTTCATTATTTAAGGGCTGCCGCCCCTGCCGCCGACCCCGGAAGAAGTGGCAAGGAAGCAAAGCTGGCAGCTCGACCTTTTTGCTATGTACATCGTTGTGAAATATATTTGATAGGTTTGAATTTTCATGTGTAAATGGGTTTTTCATTTGAGCATGTTAATACTCTGATCTTATGGTTTTATGTGTTCATGGATCTAAGTAACTGTATAATAGTTATATATATATATATACACAATATTTTTGGCCCTATTATTATACAGCTAATGTTGCGCCGCACAGGTGCATGGTTGCGCCGCACAGGTGCATGATATTTTATCGAAGTATATGAGGGCGTTGTTTTTTTTGATCCCCCACTTTGTTTGTTTGACCTCCCCCGTGTTTTTTTGACCCCTCATGAACGAAATCCGAAATGAAACTCTAAAGAAACTCTCAAGAAACCTACATGAATGTTTGAAAACCTTGACAAGATTTTCTGATAAGAAATTCACATAACACTCGAAATTAAACGCGAAAGGAAATCGGAAAGAATCCCTAAATGAAACTCTACATGAAACCCGACAGAAACGCAAAAGAAACTCGAAATAAAACCCTAATGAAAGTTTAAACACCGTAGGTGAAACCGAAAGAAACCCGAATGAATTGCTGCCAGAAACCCCTACATGAAACACAAAATGAACCCTAAAGAAATCATAAATTGACCTAAAGAAACCATAAATGAAAGCCTGCAATTCAATGCAATGAAATGCAATGCACTGCAATGCAATGCAATGCAAGGTAATGCAATGCAATGTACTGCAATGCAATGCAATGTAATGGAATGCAATGTAATGCAATGCAATGCAATGTAATGTAATGTAGTGCAATGCAATGTACTGCACTGCAATGCAATGTAATGCAATGAAATGCAATGCAATGTAATCCCATGCAATGTACTGCAATGTAATGCAATGTAAGGCAATGTAATGCAATGCAATGTAATGCAATGCAATGCAATGTAATGCAATGCAATGCACTGCAATGCAATGTAATGGAATGCAATGTAATGCAATTGACTGTAATGTAATGCAATGTAATGCCAAGCAATGTAATGCAATGCAATGTAATGCAATGTAATGCATTGCAATGAAAAGCAATGAAATGTAATGCAATGCAATGCAGCGAAATGTAATGCAATGCCATGTAATGCAATGTAATGCCATGCAATGTAATGCAATGCAATGCCCTGCATTGCAATGAAGAGCAACGAAAGGTAATGCAAAGCAATGCAATGAAGTGTAATGCAACGCAATGTAAGGCAATGTAATGGTATGCAATGCAATGTAATGCAATGTAAGGCATTGCAATGTAACGCAATGAAATGTATCGCACCTTGAGGCTCTCGACCTTTTTGCCATGTATATCGTTGTGAAATAAATTTGATAGGTTTGAATTTTCATGTGTAAATGGGTTTTTCATTTGAGTACATGTTAATATTCTGATCCTATGGTTTTATGGGTTCATTTTATGGGTTCATGGATCTAAGTAACTGTATAATAGTTAGATAAATATATATATGTATATATACACGATATTTTTGGCCCTATTATTATACAGCTAGTGTTGCGCCGCACAGGTGCATGGTTGCGCCGCACAGGTGCATGATATTTTATCGAAGTATACGAGGGCGTTGTTTTTTTTGATCCCCCACCTTGTTTGTTTGACCTCCCCCGTGTTTTTTTGACTCCTCATGAACGAAATCCGAAATGAAACTCTAAAGAAACTCTCAAGAAACCCACATGAATGTTTGAAAACCTTGACAAGATTTTCTGATAAGAAATTCACATAACACTCGAAATTAAACCCGAAAGGAAGTCGGAAAGAATCCCTAAATGAAACCCGACATGAAACCCGACAGAAACGCAAAAGAAACTCGAAATAACACCTTTAAGAGATGTAAATCTCCAGAGAATTCCTACATGAAATTGAAATCCTACTTTTTTTGTTTTATTTTTTCCTGTTTGTATCTTAAATGAAAGTTTAAACACCGTAGGTGAAACCGAAAGAAACCCGAATGAATTGCTGCCAGAAACCCCTACATGCAACACAAAATGAATCCGAAAGAAATCATAAATTGACCTAAAGAAACCATAAATGAAAGCCTGCAATTCAATGCACTGAAATGCAATGCAATGCAATGCAATGTAATGCAATGCAATGTACTGCAATGCAATGCAATGGAATGGAATGCAATGTAATGCAATGCAATGCAATGTAATGTAGTGCAATGCAATGTACTGCACTGCAATGCAATGTAATGCAATGCAATGAAATGCAATGCAATGCAATGTAATGCCATGCAATGTACTGCAATGCAATGCAATGTAAGGCAATGTAATGCAATGCAATGTAATGCAATGTAATGTACTGCAATGCAATGCAATGTAAGGCAATGTAATGCAATGCAATGTAATGCAATGCAATGTACTGCAATGCAATGTAATGGAATGCAATGCAATGTAATGCAATGTAATGCCAAGCAACGTAATGCAATGCAATGCATTGCAATGAAAAGCAATGAAATGTAATGCAATGCAATGCAATGCAGTGAAATGTAATGCAATGCCATGTAATGCAATGTAATGCCATGCAATGTAATGCAATGCAATGCAATGCCCTGCATTGCAATGAAGAGCAACGAAAGGTAATGCAATGCAATGTAATGAAGTGTAATGCAACGCAATGTAAGGCAATGTAATGCTATGCAATGCAATGTAGTGCAATGCAATGCATTGCAATGTAACGCAACGAAAGTCTTGCCCTTCCTACACGATTCGTGTGGTTGCATGTCCCGAAGACAAAACTTGCTACAGGCATTGTTCCATGGAGTCTGTGTGCACACACTGCGAAGTACCAATTTGTTCCTCTTGTTGGAACTATGTGTATCGACATAGGAGCAAACCACCAGCAGCATTGAGCAACGATATGATACTCGGACATCCACCGCGGGAGATCTATGCGCAAGAATGCACTGTCTTAGAACTCTTGTGTGCAAGCCCTTGCATGACTGCCTTGACGTGTTTTAGCATTGAATGGCGCTACCTGCAAGACCGGAGTTTAGCCCAAGATGCATTTATGAACCGGCACCGCCTATGCGCCAAAGGAAATGCAACGACGTTTCCGTTGCCATGGGAAGACTTGTTGTCCGAATTCCAACGTTTAGACGAAAAACTGGCATCGAATACGCCTGCTGGTTGCCTACCGCACGTAGGCAAAGCATTAAGTGACAAAATTGCCGTTATAATAAAAATAGGAGACAAGAAAGACAAAGCAGCGATGCGTCAACACATCATTCACCAAGCAGTTGTCCGGCGTCAGGTCGTTGTGAGATTAATCGCAACAATGGTTGCGCGAAGCCATCCTGCGTACAAAGGAATAGATATGGCACTCGTGGAAGCACGTGCCGAAATGTTACCAGAAAATGACGTTCCCGCCGAAATCATTGCCTTATTGGATAACGATGGGAGTCTTAATCACGTCTTGCGGCAAAAAGCAGCTACGCCCTTCAACGACCAAATGTCTGAAGCACAAGTGAGTTGTGAGTTCGGACGTTTGCTGAAACCGAACGCGGTCGTTCTAGAGAAAACAACTGCAGGATGTCACGATCTAAATGCACGTGTCTGCACTGGAAGACATTGTGACCCGCAGTCAGCCAGCGCCTGCGCAGCCTCTTCCAGAAGTGACACTGTGTACGGGCACCAAACTTTTGGATCAATTTCAGCCACTTTACTTTGCTTTAGCCTTTCCTTTTGTCTTCCCATATGGCATTGGTTTGCCTGATGTGCCCAAGTGGAGCCAACGGAAACGGCTTCGACGCCACACGGAAGATCCGCACGTCGAGCTAAATACATGGGTCAAAGTCATGGCGCGACGCATCGAGGCGCAAGTCAGTCGTGATTGGGTTTTTGGCTTTACGTCGTGGAATCTGCTGTTTCGATCAGCTTTGAATCTGTCCCGAACAACGGATGCATACTCGCGGAGCTTCTACGATGAAGAAACGCAAGAGTGGGTGCAGCCGACAGGAAAGCACCTGGAACAGGCGGCACAAGACTTGTTGCTCGCCCTGAAGGGCTCTTATATAGATGTTACAGGTCAACCGCGCCCAATCAAAGGAGATGTCTCCAAGCTCAGATATGTGCAAGGCCTGAAGCCGATGGCGCGAAAATTGTTGACGAACATGCGACATACAGCGCAGGGGTTACCAGGGACACAGGAAGCGCGAAAGAGAATGCGGTTCGAAATCCAGGCGATGCGAATTCGGTATGGGGTACCGTTGTTCGTCACTTATACGCCAGATGAGGCACATCAGTTGCTTTTTGTTCGCATGACACGAGTTCGGGCATCTGATCCTGTACGTGCTGCATCTGTCGCGCAAGATTTTCCAGCCGGCAACATGTTTTTCCCTGATCTCGGCACAGCAAGTGCTGCAACGCCTGGGCCATTTGAATATGAGTTCACGTTACCCATGTCTTGGGCAGAGCGTCGCGAAGTTTTAGCAAGGGATCCTCTGGCCGCAGTGGATGGTTTTCGCGTGCTCACACATTTAATGTTGAAGCACCTTTTTGGTGTGCGTATTTGTCCTTTTTGTCCTGATTGCAACCGCTTTTGTGGCTTAGAGCCCTGTCAAGACTTACGCGGCAGCAATGCAGAGACAAGCGGCGGAATTTTTGGGCGCGTAGATGCTGTCTACATTTCCTTAGAGGCGCAAAAGAGCACAGGTGGTCAGCATGGGCACATGCAAGTGTTTGTTCAATGTCTGCATCAGCATACCTCGCTGGCAGAAATTTTTGAATTTTCACGTCCGCGCCTTGACGCTTTGCGTCGGGAATACGAAGCATATAACGCCCATGTGTGCCA